CCGCTGATGTGACATGCCATTCTAATGATACATTAGAGTAATGTATCATCCAGAAGCCAAACTAGTAATGCATTTCTCCATCTAATGAAGAAAGCTTCTAGCAATTGATGTGCTACACTTGAAGGATAACATCAGGCAGAGTACAAGATAATAGAAAAGATGGATACAGTTTGTCAGTTCCTTAAATGCACCCCTGAGTGCCACTCCACCCAGTGACTTTGCTCTTGCATTCCCCGAGATGTTCTGTTCTTTCTCGGGGACGTAAACAAAAATGCAGACAAAGATGTATGGGGAAAGAATTTCTTCACCTACCCAAATGACGAAAAAAATAGGGCAAATGCAATGTCCCCTCCCACCTTTAGTGACGCTCTTTCTCACAAATTGTGGGGGTGGGAGAAGAATTTTGAGCACTTTGTGGATGGAATGCCTCTCACCTGCTTTTATGATATGTGAATTCTACTTACAAGTACCAGGTAAAGTGGGCTCTGTTTTCCCCACCTCGCTTTTAGACTTTTAAAAAGCCAAGGCAGAACTTGGCTCTGCACCCGGTAGCCTGGCTAGTTCAAACCTAGTTGTGTATTCAACCGGGATTTCTGTGTCATTGTTAGGGATGGGAGAGCAATTCAGTCCAGTTTTCATTGAAAGGGGAGTCTACCTAGCACGTACTTTCTGAAGCAACGTGCAAAGTGAAACACAAGCATCCTTCAAATGTATTTTGAAGGCACAGGGCCTTCTTGGTAGTGGCACCCTCCCTGTGGAACGCCCTCCCATCAGATGTCAAGGAAGCGAACAACTATCTGACTTTTAGAAGACATCTGAAGGCAGCCCTGTTTAGGGAAGTTTTTCATGTTTGAAGTTTTATTGTGTTTTTAATATTCTGTTAACCCAGAATATTAACCCAGAATATTCTGTTAACCCAGCCAGATGGGAGGGGTATAAATAATAAATAATAATTTATTGTTATTATATTATATTATATTATATTATATTATATTATATTATATTAATTTCTCTGAATTTTGCAGTTCTCCATCTAAACATTGTGTACAAAAATGCATACAGTATACTAGTGTAAAGTGTGCATATAAATGTATATATTACTGAAAGTAACATACAAAATGCATAAAATTAGGGAAAATAGCTTTCTAAAAATGCATGTATTGGGCAAAATTGCATACAGAAATGTCTGTTAGGAGAAATACTCTAGAATTTTCATTAGGACTTAAAAAAAATACACAAACAAACTGATGTGGATAACTAAACACAAGAGTAGAAAAATAAGAAATTGAGAGATACCCATCCTTTGTCACTATGTCATCAGACAGGGGCATTTGCAGCCATGTATGTAGCCAAGCTATTGTTTCACTTTCGAAATGTCTTTTTAAGAAGGGGGGCGGGGAGTCACCACCATCTTATAATTAAAAGTAAAACCCTCTTCCGAAAGTCACCTCCTGCTCATATGTTTTGTGCTCCCCTCTCAGACTCCAGGGATATTTTCAAGCCCGAGGCACCGCCCCCCACCAAAGCAAACCTGTGTTATGAGAATATGTTTACAGATAATCAGTTTGTGTAAACACATTCAGGTTTTATCTGCAGGTTTTCTTGTTTAAGTTTAGAAGTGGATTGACAGCCTGTCTTACCAGCCTCTAAAACCTGAGGGCAGTCCTAGGGAAGGCTATGTTGCCGTTGGTAACTGTGGTCACAATTTGCAGCTCATAAAATGGTTCATGAGTGGTCAATTCCCTCCCATCCACCACCCACCCAATAAAAGCATCCGCAAAAGTGCTATCGTTCTGTGTTTGGGCTCCCCCGCTGTTAGTAGACCCTTCCACTGACACAGCAGCAGCTGATTTTGCAGTGATTTTGCTCTCAGCACTGCAGCCAAGGAGGCAGGACTTTCCTAGTGTCAGGATTAGACCTTTTGTAAGTCTGTAACTGCCCATTAATAGGAAAGATGGCTAGAAAACACACCAGAGTTTCGTATGACAGCGAGCGAGAGTATATTTGGCATATCCTGTTTACAAGAAATTGTAAACGTCCGCTTTTTGCTATGCTATAACATAGTGTGGACTAGCTGGCTGGAAGGAAACAAGATTTGCGTCTGACTTTATGAAGATGGTAAATCACCGAGTGTAGCCCAGGTTTTCCAAATGCATGTTATATAAATAATGACATTGGTTTGTGGCAGGGACTAATTATGCAGACTCCTGAGAACTGGAAGCTTGTGACAAGAAGTCTGGCACTTTGCCAAATCCTTTGATTCATATCCATGTTCTGAGCTCGCCAATGACTTTGCCTGTGACTTTGAATCACAGCAGTTTGGGTGTATGCAAGGAATTGGTGTGTCTTTTGGGGTGTGTTTCCCCAGTTCATAACCTTGAGCAGCAGAATTTTGGTATTATCTGGATCACAGTATTACCTGGATCACATAGTACTACATGGATTTAAAGGTACTATGTAAAATTTCAGTCAGGCTGGAAGAAGGTCTCAAAAGAAGATATCAGTTTGCTTAAACATGTTCAAGTCCTTCTGTAGCTTTTCTAGGAGCAGATTGACCCATTTCAGTTTAATTGCCTTTTACCCAAGCTGAACTAAGAACTGCTTTCTGTGTTACATTTTAGTTGCATTAGGAGTATTTATGCCTTTCACATCTCTGTATAAATTTAGTCTTATCATCTTATGTTGGCGGTTTCTATCCATGATGGCAATATTGGAGGCAGTATGCCTTTGAATACGTGTTGCTGGGAATCGCAAGTGGGCAGACCGCACTCAGATCCTGCTTTCAGGCTTCACGGATGCATCTAGCTGGCCACTGTGAGAACAAGAGACTGAACTACATGAGCCTTTGGCCTGAGGGGAGTTAGAAAGAGCAAGGCCTTCCATACATTGGCTCCCAGTACGTTTCTGAGCACAAATCAAAGTGTTGGTGTTGACCTTTAAAGCCCTAAACGGCCTCCGCCCAGTATACCTGAAGGAGCGTCTCCACACTGAGGTCCAGCTCTGAGGGCCTTCTGGCAGTTCCCTCACTGCAAGAAGTGAAGTTACAGGCAGAGGGCCTTCTCGGTAGTGGCGCCCACCCTGTGGAATGTCCTCCCATCAGATGCCAAAGAGATAAACAAATGTATCAGGAAGTTTTTAATGTCTGATGTTTCACTGTGTTTTTATATTCTGTTGAAGCCGCCCAGAGTGGCTGGGGCAACCCAGTCAGAAATTACACACACTACTGAATAGATATGAAGAGTGACACCTACTCCAATGCATCACCTGAATTTAAAATAGAAAACAATCCTGTGATTGCTATTGATTTCTGTAGAACTGTGCCCACTTACATATATTTGGTTTGGTGAGAATCACACACAGAATTAACAGCACTGTCTCACCATATTTAAGTGTCTTTTAGCCTATTTATCTCTAGTAAACAAAGCAGCCACAATATGTTTCAGCACTGAGGAAAGCACAAACATGCAGGTAAACTACGCCATTTCAAAAGTTCAGATGCATCTCTGCCAGCTCTGTAAATGTCTTGGGAACAAAACTTCTTTCTTGGAGGAGGAGCATACAGGCAGCTGAGCAGCTCATTGGTTAAATGATATGTTCTGCATGCTATGGGATGTGATCAAAAGTTTATGATGTCCATTAGTTATTACTGCTGGACCTTCATTTTATCCTGGCAACAACCCTATGAGGTAGCTTAGGCTGGGAGATGCTGACTGGTTCCATGAAACCTTCATATTTGCATTGGAATTTCAACCTTCATTTCCCTGGTTGGAGTCTAATTTGACTTCACTACATCACATTAGCTCTACCACCCAGGTAGACACATAGACATAGTTAGGGAAGGAAATAATGGCATGATAGACATTGAAAATGCAAATGAGAAAATATTACAGTCAACCATGAACTACGTTGCATTATGCTGTCAACAACAGAAGAGAGGCAAGTGTTGCATACTGGCTAGGGCTGTCTGAGGAAAACTTGGAGTGCCCCCTTATATTTTTAGTTTACAAGTTGTGATCTTGGGGTAGGGATGGGAGAGAAATTTGGATTAGCTTGCATTTTAAAGCACTTCCTGAAACAATGTGCAAGTCAAAATGCACCTATCCTTTGAAATTCACACTTCTCTGATTTTTGCAATGAGTTCTCCAACCCCAAAATGTATATATTAGAGGAAAGTGTGCATAATGAGGCATATATTAGTTAAAGTAATATAAGAATTTATAATATATGTGTATGGGAAAATTGCTTGCAAAAATGTGGATATTAGGAAAAATGTGTACAAAAATGCTGGTGATTTTTTGTGAGGACTTTAGAAAAAAATGCAAGCTGATGCGAAAATGTGGGGGTGGGGAGGAACAGAGAAGCCAAGTTGACAGATTTGTCTGTAGCTAACTGGCTGTATCACATGGAAGCTCATTATGCTTACACATTGAGAAGCTCAAGAATGACAGACAAGTTTGCCTGAAAAACACCTTGAAGGCTACTTCCAAACTTTTTCTGAAGTGCAGAGCGCAAGAGAATGTGAAATATGTTTTAGGGTGGACTCTCTCAGTGCACACAAAGGAACAAGAAGTCCCAATAGGCCTGGCCAGATGATTTTTGTTTTCTAAGAGCCATTCCCATTTGCATATATCTGGAAAGGTACTAATTACTAATGTACAGTGGTACCTCGGGTTACATACGCTTCAGGTTACAGACTCCGCTAACCCAGAAATAGTACCTCGGGTTAAGAACTTTGCTTCAGGATGAGAACAGAAATCGTGCAGCGGCAGCAGGAGGCCCCATTAGCTAAAGTGGTGCTTCAGGTTAAGAACAGTTTCAGGTTAAGAACGGATCTCCGGAACGAATTAAGTACTTAACCCGAGGTACCACTGTAAAGGTACGTTTTCACAACAAGGTCAACATCTTCTGACAAGAATAGTCTTCAGCGTAGAAGGGTTTTTGTGAAAGACATCCATAGTTCTTCTGGATGACAAAAGAATATGAAAAAGTTTTCTTGAAGCTGGGAGGGGAAGGGACACACACACACACACACACACACACACAACCCACTGAACTGTGTGAACATTCAAACAATCTACTTATTGTATTTTTATTTCAGAAGGATAAGCAATCGCTGAAATCTTAGCAGGAGTCAATCAAAGCCACTATCATCGTTTTTATCATATCCCCGATACACTCCTGTGCCTTTTGCCCTTCTGCATCATGTTCCACTCTGACTCAGTCACAGCATGACTTGCTAGAAATGTAATTTGATGTGACATGTCCAATAACAGTGCTACTAAAAGCAGATAGTTTAAGGTTCTGCGAATAGCTTCCATTCATGGATAATTCACTCTCCATTCTTCTGTGCTTCGTATATGCATACACCCCTATGTGGCATAATCTTTGCGTTGTTTCTATGCATTGTCTCAATTGCCTCTAATGATGTCTTCATTCAGTCTGGCTGGTGGTATTTGGAACTGGCAGATGATTAAAAAAGGGCAAGGTTATGTTTGTGTAGTTTTGTTTTTGCCAGCACTGTAGAAGCATTGCCTCTGGGGAAGGATGATATTTGGGCAGACATATTATTATGATTTTTATGTGCATGTGAATTAACGGAGTCATTCTTAGTAGTGGCAAGAGTTGAAGAAAACACAGAGCAGTCCTCGTTTTCAGGAGGTTCATAAACCAGAGCTTCTGAATGCAGGTGAAAATATACCAAGCAAATTAATTGGCATATATTGAAAATAGTTTTTTTTCCCAATTCAAAAAACGGGTTGAGCACAAATCAATGCCTGTTTTGAATATTTGAATAGCACGGAATCGGTGTATATTCACAATCACTTTCTGATGTATGTTTGCTCTTGACAGAAAATAGCTCTTTATCAAAATGGCTAAAAATCATAAAACTTTTTGATAATCGAACCAAGAGCAGAATTCTGGTGTGTGCGTGTGTGTGTGTGTGTGTGCTGGTCTACATAGTCATTTTAAAAGGTTAAGTGCAGTCTATCTAATTGTTATTAGCTTTTTGCTTGTGTTAGGTTAACAGAAAACAAAATCAGCTTCCAGTTCATTTTTCTATTTTATGTGATTAGAGAGAGAGAGAGAGAGAGAGAGAGACAGAGAGAGAGAAGAGAGGGACACACACACACACACACACACGTCGTGCTTCCAGTTCTGACTACAGGAAGGAGGCCACCAGGGAGCCAAGCATGTTCAATATGCAAAGACAGGCCCTGTTGGTAGAATTTGGACATAGCAAGTTTATTCCTTTCCTGTCTCCAAATTTTCTCTTCTCTGGCTGAATTCTGGCACCTAGTCCATTTTTTCTGTGTTGGAAATAGGGAAAGTAATAGAAAATGCCAATTTCTGACTTCTTGAAAATTCTGTTGTATTTAGAAATTGGAAGGGTAATGTAAAATAATTGTGAGTTGAGAAGCTCAATTTCATATCATTTCCTCTTGCTGAAATTCTTCCCCTTATCCATAAGTCCTGCCTTTGGGGTTGGTGGGTTGGAGAAGCCAATGGAAGTTCAAGGGCCTGGATGGAAGAAGGCTTTGACTTTGGCAAGCCTGTTGGTTTTTTAAAGCCTGGATGGAGGAAGTTTCAAACTTATATCTAGGTTGGTTTGCTAGCTTTTTTTGAAATCACCATGGCTTAGGGGCCCATTGGGGAATGAAGTCTGGCCACTATACTAAACTGACAATATCAGGGCAGATTAAGAGATACATCAGATAACTTCTATTCCCCTGGTTTGTATGGCTCGTTCGCATAAATACAGGGGTAAACAATGTGTTACCCTCTAGTATGGTGTTAACCTAGAGCATGTGGTTTCCTGTTTGCAACCCCATTAACATGGAAAATTGTGGGAGTTTTATGCTGTGATTTCCCCAACATTCTGATAGATCATACTGTGCTATGAAATTTGGGATGGTATTCCAGCATACAGTTCTTCCTCACTATTTTCATGGGGGAATTATGGGGGGAAAGAAGCACACATGTGCATAGAATGGGCTGACTTGCCAGATGAAGCCCACTGTTGTGCCACACCATGTCCACTTGTGTGAATGAAATTTAGCACATCATGGTGGCACATTGATGAAAAAGCCATAGTTCCATAATGCAACAGGTAATGTGCTGTAAAAAGAAAGTAAGAAACTAGGACAGAAGCACTAGCATTATAACCAAGAAAACTAATGCAATAATCCTCATGCCTAAGTGCACCCTAAGTTGTGGAAATAAATAGTAATAATAATTTATAATAATTTTTTATTTATACCCTACCCATCTAGCTGGTTTTTTAATACACAGGCAGGAACTATATGATCATGGCAGCAGCTCCACTCCATCCTTTTTTCTTACATACAGTGAAGAAAACCCCCCACTTCTGTAATGATCTTATGTGCATTAGTAAATATGTATTACTTTCCATTGGCAAAATATTCACAGAATATGTGAACTGTTCATTCAACACAGTTTTAACTAAAAATGAGCTGCTTTCGTCTTAGATTTATTTCCAGTTGTTTCTTTTTTATGGTGTGCAAATATAACGCCTGTTATATCCCTTGAATGGCTGGAATTCTATGTTTTTGATACACACACCCCAATCTATTTGGGGAAAAATTGAGTGGAGAAAGAAGTTGGCTGCACAAATCTCCATCATTCAAAAGCTTTCTGTTTCAACTACTGCTCCCTGCAACTGACTGTCTTCTACAGTGGGTCTTTGTTCAAACCATTAAATGGGAAGTTTAAGATTAATTCCCTAGGAGGTCAAGAGGAGAAGGATAAATAACCAGCCCTGCTCAGTGTTCTTTCTTAATGGCTTCAGCACAGTGTGAAAGAGTAAACAGTTTTGACAAAAGATGTAACTGATTGCTTAGGTGTGAATGATCAGTCAAAAATGTAGCTTATCCTCTTCACTCAGAAGATGCTCCTTAATGAAGTGAGCTATGGTTTGTTAGACAAAGAGAAAACAGCTTGCTAATAGAGAGCTAAGGCAACAGTTACAGAGTTTTCTAGGGAAGAAGCTGAGGCTGATGGTATTTATAAATGCGAGAGAGAAAGTAACAACTCCATGCAAAAATTTGAGAGGGTGTTTCTGCTCCCCCCCCCCCCAGGCCTTCAGCTTTAAAGGCTTCCCAGCATGTTAAGTAAGAGAACTTCAGTGGTAAATTACACAAAATGTTGAACTTGGGTTATGAGCTCCTTGCTCCATCACAAAGCTTATTGAGTAACCTAGGGTCCAATTACTATATCTCTAATATACCGTACTTTTTGCTCTATAAGACTCACATGCAGTGAGCTTTTGACAGCAGGAGAACATCTGAACGTGAAGTTTCTCATCTGCATGCTCTAGTTGTATGGTATTGGGAGGAGCTAACAACAACCAAATTTCTTCCTGTGTTGATCACATGAGAGCTGTCTCACATGTGAGGAAGAAATCCAAAGTCCTGTTTTTATGTATTCCCTTTGTTTAATCATGTAAGATCATTTTAGAAAATATTTCCGATACACACACTGCATTTATGTATTCGGTTTGTGTCATGTTATCCATGTAGTACCACCATTGCTTTCAGCATTTTCATTGCTTTCCGTATCATTTTTCATAGACTTGCAAACATCCGCTACCAAACCCACAGGAGCTGAAGATGCAAAGAAAGATTTTGGAGGAAAATATGGCTTAATCTTTACATAATACATAAGCACAGAAAAAAGAAAGCTAAGGGTAATGTTTTCTCCCTAGCCGATTGTGTTGCATAAGTGTGCTGAATTCTCTGTGGGATGGTGGCCATTATGTGTTAAATTGAATTTTATAATGTACTAAACTGAAGGCTAGTCTGGATTGCGAGTTGTTCTACTTGTCCCTGCTCCTGAAAGGGCAGCTTCATTTGCAGACATTAGTCATCAGTATTGCTTATTTCCTTGCTGATGTTTACAGATTACGTTCCTGTAAAAAAGCATGAACACATCAGAGTTTCCCCCCGATGACTGTAGCCATTTCTTGTATCTCACACAAATATTAACACACAAGGGAAAGACCATAACTCAGCAGTGGAGCACATGCAGGTCCTAACAAAGCCAGGAAACTCTTGGATCGGGCTGTGACATGGAAGGTTTTGGCACTGGGTGGCCAGGTGATTTGCCACCCAGGAATATCTTACAGCAATGGGCCCCTTTTCTGTGCTGATGGCGTTCATCTTTCCGACAAGGGAAATGATGTTTGGTTGGCCGATATTATTAAAGGCATAAGAGCTTGGTTGCAGGTGTGAGGGTATTGGCGGCGAGCTTTGGGCTCGTGTGGCACTTAGGCATTGGAATAGCAGTGTGTCGGGGAGGGGAGGTGCGGCCATCACCTGCCCCTCCATGATGAAGGGTATTCCTTTAAAGGAATCTGGAAGTGTGGATCTCGTCCGAAGCCCGGGGAGGGGCTAGGGTAGGCTTCCTCAACCTCGGCCCTCCAGATGTTTTTGGCCTACAACTCCCATGATCTGCAGCTAGCAGGACCAGTGGTCAGGGATGCTGGGAATTGTAGTCTCAAAACATCTGGAGAGCTGAGGTTGAGGAAGCCTGGGCTAAGGCCATGCCATGACCCCAGGGGGTGCTCGAGTCGATCCGCATCAGCGGGGCTCCCCCTACAGGAGGTTTTCCCTTACCAGACTTCCAGCAAGGTGGGCAGGAGTCAGATATAATCTGATGATGCCAGTGCCTAAACCAGTACCAGTACATTCTGTAACCAATAAAGTTGTGGCCTAAATTTTGCCCATTAACATTAACCTAAAATTCTGTGTCCTTGTGTCTTTATTCTCCTGGGGGTGGCTTGGGGATCTTGGCACGCAACCCAAGAGTCACTGCCAGGGATAGGCATTCTGTACCCCTCTAGAAGTTGCAGGACTCCCATCCAGGCCGAGATGGCCAGTGGTCACAGACAGTGAGAGTTGTAGTTCAACAACGTCTGGGGGGCTCCAGATTCCCCATCTCTACTGGTCTGGCAGTTACAGGGTAATAATTTGTAATATTTGTAATAATTCGTGATCCTGGTAATAATTTGTGTAAGAATGTTATAATATCTTTATCCGGTCTAACTCCAAATGAAGACAACATAACCTTTGGACTAGTTTTTGGTCGTCTTTTTTTCATTTTTCATTTTGTCTTGCAAAGAGATATATGGCCAGTGGTCCTCATGCAGCGA